TCTTGTAGGGCACCAAAGATAAATGAATGAAACCTGTTAAATAATGATAAGTATTAAGGAAGAAAAGACAAAAGCCGGGAGAGATTTGATATAGGGACTAGCTGAAATTTTAGGCAGAATAGTTCAAGAATGGATCACTGAAAACAGAAAATATGTCTAGACAGTCTTTCTTGGATTTTCTGGTCACTGGTATTTTCTTAAGAACTTTCTGGCAGAAAAATGGATCTAGGGCATTATCCTGACACAAATGCTTAGGATAAGCAGCAATAATTATAATGAACAATATAACATATCAATATGATGAGCTATATATGTGTGTATATATATATATATAATTAAAATTAAGTATTAATATATAATTAACTACTGAACATATAATAAACAGGTTTCTTAATCTCTCATAGAGCATGTATTACAGCCATGATGCAGACAAAGGTGCTACATTAAAAAACTGCCACATCCCTGGAACTATGTCAGAATGAAAGGATAGCATCTTACAAAAAACTCCTTTAAGTCAGAGGGATGATTGCTGCTTATGGGCAAGGGTGAGAAACAAAGCTACTGATTACTGAAGACAAAGAATAGCTCCATCCAGAACCCTGCAGCCATATTTTACTCCCATTGGGTTATTGCAAAGAATAAGCTAAGCTTTGGGGATCTCCTTTTCTTTTTATCATAGAATCCGTCCATTAATTAAACCACTTTTCCTCGTCTCATCACCAGAGGGGTACATTTTCCAAGGTCACAAATGGGAATTCGGTTCTAGGTGTTTCTACACTGGCGTTCTTTATTATTCGGTTCCTGCCTCTTGCCCTTTCCCAGGGAAATTCCACACATGATTACACAGCTTCAGCTGTTGCCTGGGCGCCAAACACTGAAACGCTTCTTGCCAACACAGCCTAGTATCTTGAGTGCTAAGCCGACTGAACTCTGGATGCGCCATGTGTACTAGGCCTCAACGCATGGCCAGCTGATCTCTGTCCCGGCCGCTACCTTACCCATGAGCCTCTGTTCCCTCAGTTGGTGGCAGCCATCTGTCCACCAGGCATTCCAACAGGAAACCTGGATCCTCCTTCACTCCTCACATACAATCCCATCAACCTTAACTTTAAATGCCCCTTAAGTCTGTCCCTCCGTCTCTGTCACACTTGCTGTCACTTCACATTTTCCACCTGGACTATCATTATCTCCCCAATGGGCCTTCCTGCCTCCAGTCTGCACCTTATGTATCAGAGCACCTACTACTCAGCATCATAAATGCTGTTTATTTATATGTCTTTACATACCTCAGGAGTTGCAGACAAATGTGGTATGCTGTCTCTTTATTCTCAGCACTTAGCATAATAACTTGCATGGAGTATATGTTCAGTTAACATCTACTAACTGGATAAATAACTCCTGGACCATCAGATCCCAAGATGTCAGACACTTCAGGAAGTGAGATGGGTACACCAACAAAATTCTTGCTCACTAACCATGATCCTGTTACAGCTAAACCGATGAAGTCATGGACTGATTACTGGTTTATGTTTGAGCCATGACCTGTAACCCCGAAGTCATGCTTTTCCACCATTGTACTTGTCTAGCTCTCGTGTAAGATGTTTAGTGCCCTCTTTCTCCTTCTCTGTTCAAAACTCAATCTTAGTAAAAAAGAGCTTACCTCTGCTTTTTGTTCCCACAGGTATTTGCATTTTAGGGTTTTCTTTCTAATTGTGCAAAACCACCACTGGTCCCATTCGAGGACTATAAGGCTTTGGCAACATGGTATATGTGTAAAGGAGAATAGGTTGAGAATTGAAGGGAGAAATTCTGGCCCCAAAATCACAGTCAGAACCTGAATGTTTCTCCTCTGTGCTCAACCAGCTCTTGCCCAAAAGCCCAGGCTTATTTTAGCAAGTGCCCTCTCCTCAATATCCTCTGTCCCAGGACATTCGCTCACTATCTGCACGTGACACCTCCACTGCAGACGTAACAGGAAGAAGACAAAACTGGAGTCTAAAGACGCAGCAGCAGTCTGGCCCGCCTGGGTCAGGAGAAAGACGGCATTCCTCAAGAAGACTTATGTTTCTGCTGGGACACCATCCTAAAGGATCGATTAAAAGTAGCGACTCTAAGGAAATTTACAGTCCCCATCTGACAGTGAGGGAGAAGGAAGCAGGTCCTGGGACGGAGGGGGAAGGGTCTTTGTGGAGAGAGCAGCCCCACATGGTGGCAGGCGAGGTTCTCAGTAAGTCTGAGAAATGGCTCTGCTCTGTACCTTCTGCTCACTTTTTCTACATACTTTAAAACTGCTCTAAAAATGAAAGTTTCTTAATTTAAAAAATGGAAGAAAGAAAGAAATGGCCCTGGCTAAGGAGCAATGTCTTGTTCAGGAGATGGCCTGAGAATACAAGGTCAGCTGTCACCTACTCAGTACTATAACTTCCCTTGAGGGGACCTTGAGGAATCTCTAGAACTGTGCTGTCCCATACCATGGTCTTAACTACGTGGAGCTATTGAGCACTTGAAATGTGACTAGTCCTAATGAGATACGCTGATAAACTAGTGTGAAAAAAAGTAATGTCAAATATCTCAGTAGTTTTTATATTAATTACATGTTGAGATGATAATATTCTGGTTATACAGGGATAAATAAAATATATCATGAAAGCTAATTACCCCTTTTTACTTTGGTAATACTATAGCTATTCGAAGATTTGGAATTACATATGCAGCTCACAGCATATTTCTATTGGACAACACTACTCTAGAGTCTTAAGAAAAAGAGTCTTAAGAAAAAGGGAAGAACTTGCTAGAGCATAAGGAATGGGGAGCTCAAGCCATTTTCTTTGGATAGTAAAGAAAAGGGTGACCCCAGGGACTTGGGAAATAAGACAGTAGACATTGACAGCCTGTGAGAAAATTCACAGGAATAGAAGACATTTATTTTAGTAAAGTTTTATTCAACTAAAAGTAACTCCTACGAACAGCAAGTACTCCTAAAATATGATCCAGCTGACAGAAAGATTCAGCTTTTCAGGAACATATTTATAGCATGAAGTAAGTATATACAACATTCCAACAGAAATAACATTCAGTTTTCAAATTTAAGCTACAAGAGAACAAGAATAAGGATGCTCCCCACCCACAGGGGAAAAATGAGTATGTCTTCTAACTCCTTGATGGGCTGAACAGTGACTACCCAGAACTGAGACTAAAATATTGTACCTTCAACTAGAAATATAAATGCCTGCAGCACTGTGGTCGTTAATGGATTGCATTTGTTTCATACCAAACCTACCCATTGAGCCATATCTCAGGAAATTAATGAGCAAAAAAATAAAACATAATGCCTGATTTCACGTTAGCCACTCAGGATGTGACCAGAAAATATTTTTTCTCTGACGTGCCACCTGGCTCTAATTCAATGCTTCTGGGTTCTCTACATCCACATACGTGGCTATATACATATATACGTATATGGAATTGGCAAACTTCAGATGTGGGGTGACTTAAAAATCCCTTGGCCCAGCCTCTTTATTTTACAGATAAAGACACAGAGCCACAGAGAGAGAGGCAATCTGCCTGAGATCACAGCTGCTCAGGGGTGACGGTGGGAATGACGGCCACACGGTGTGGCAGCGCCCAGTACCCCGGATGAGACCCTACTGCTTCCCGATGACAAACCGGAGCTGTCTGAAAACTGGGAAGTTTTCTTCTTATTTGCGGGGGTTTTCAGGACGATTAAAGGATCTCTTTCTCTTTTTAAAAGTTATTTAAAATTTTTTTCCTTGAAGTATAGCTGACATACAATATTATACTAGGTTTAGGTGTACAACATAGTGATTTGACAATTATATACATTATGAAATGCTCACCGTGATATGTGCAGTTACCATCTGTGACTACACGAAGTTATTTCCGTAATACTGACTCTATTCCCTAGGCTACACTTTGCATCCCCATGACCTCCTCACTTTATGACTGGGAGTTTGGCGCGCTCAATGACACAGTCTCACCTGAGCTAGATGCCAGCGCTCGTTCTCCTGAGAGGTTTATACTCAGTGATAGAAACAGTTGTAGACTCCAGAAAAGCCCCTCCCCATTCTTTTCTGCCTGTCTGAGAGTCACTGGGCAGCCTGGAGTCTATCTGAGAACCTCCCTGGCCGCAGACTGGTGGCTTAAGATGGCAACGCTGAGTTCATTGCCTAAGATACCCAAGATGCAACATGGTTTGCAGGGATGAGAGCGCGTCCCACATACAGAGGGCAGGGGGCAGCTGCGGAGCAGGCTCACAGTCTTGTCCCTCTTCCATCTCTCCGGTTTCCCTCAACCAAACCTGAGCCCCCCAGACACACCCTCAGCTCAAGCAACTGCTTTCTTGAACACACAAAAACCCCTCTCTTTACCCATTTTCTCCACTTAGCCATGCCTTGGCTCCAGGATAACGGGTCAACATATTTCATTCTGAGTTGCCAACAGATGAGCCCTAAAGGGAGGCTTGTTAATGGAAACCAACCTCAAATTGGTAGCTTCTCGGATGGGAGGTATTTTTCTGCGTGGAGGCATTCCAAGTGTTCTTGCTTAATTCCCACTTAACACACACACAGCCTACATTACCCCACAGGATCCGGTGACCTAGAACCCCAGCCTTACAAGTTTCTGAGCCCTCCTGTAAATAATGGCTTTGGGGACAAGGTGACTCTGTACTATGAGTCCTTCATTTTGAAGGAAAAGATACATGAAGTACAAAACACAAAATTGCACTTTCACTGCTCTTCCACACTTCATCTGTCCTCCCAAGATCAGGGACCTCAGCTAACACCCAAAGGCCTACGTGCTGCAGGTCTTCGGGGACTCAGGTTCCCCCTTGAATCTAACCCAACCCAAACCAGAGGAAGTCAGTGATTCCAGGGCTTGTGAGTACATTCACTTATCACATGGAGTGAACAGGAAGGCACGGCCCAAGACAAGCTCTGACTGTGGCATGTCAGCAAGCCCACAAGCAGGAGGTGCCATACCTTTGCAGGTGAAACATTTGATGTGGAAATGTTTGGTCTGAACCCGAAGCACTTCACCCTTGCACGGCTCCCCGCATTTATGGCAGTGAATGACAGGCTTCTCCGAAGGGTGGTGAGGGTCTTGGGGATGGGCCACTGCAAGAAAAACAAAAGAGCCATGAGAGTAGAAGGCATCCCTACAAAAGCCATCTGTGTGGCCCTGCGTAAAGGTACCTGCAATTTTGGTACCAAAAGAGCCACAAATTGATCCAGTAAGTGGGAACTGTGCCCCTTCTCCCCCATGCCATAATCATGGGGGTACACGGGTAAATCAGGAAGTGGTGGGTTTGACAGACCAGTGGGGAAAACACCGGGATTGTTCTTCTGGGAGCCAGAAGTCCCCTTCTTTCCAAGCTTCTCTAGGACTACACAGTTGGGGCAGTAAATACACGATCTTGTTTGGTTCAATATTTTGTAATACACATTTTTAATACATCTTTGAGTTAGAAAGCACCTTTCAGCACATTCACTGCAGACTAAGTTCCTTAAGGATGGGGACATTTCTTAAAATTCCTGTTTTTGCTTCCCATTTGCACTTCTCCCCTCTTACCCTAGCTGCTCAGAACACAGCAGAAGGCTCCTGCCCCAAAGGAGCCCAGGAAATGCTCATTCTCTTATGAGCGTGCGCTGGCTGGTTTCTTGTCTGTTCTACCAGGTAGTCCTTCCTGATCTTAGTTTGGCAACTCATTTAACCTCTCGGAGGCCTGTCAGGAGCCTCTGATTGTGTGCCCCATTCCTAATACACACTTCGCAGGCAGTCATTTTTTAAAAATTAGTAACTATGTGGATCTCTCTGAATCTCACCTGCTTCTTCTACAAAACAGAAGATTTTGAAGGTCTTTTCAGATTCTAAAATCATATGTTGGAGTCTACAGTGCTTGTTTCCCCAGTTTCCAGAATAAAGCCTTCAGAGAATAGAAGTTACTGTGGTTGTCCTGCCCCAGGAAAAGGATTTGCAGCCTTTCCTTTACAAAGGACTAAGAGACAGGCCAGGGAGAGTCTTCAGTTAATGTGCAAGCTCTCCAGCCAGAGAATGCAGATTTTTGTTATTAAATTCCTTTCCTGATTTGGGTCCTCAGAAGTAGGAACCACGTGATATATAAAAATGTATTACATAAGTACCTACATGAGTGTGATATGGGATAAGAACAGGGAACCCAAAATAATCAGCCAACACAAAGAACAAAGATGATTTTTTTTCCTCAAATGGTAAAACTGGATTGACAGAGGGACTGTGGGCAGATTTTACTGACACTCAATTTAGAATACACCTCACTGCTACTGAGGTGCTTGCAGGACCCCGCAAGTATAATAGGGCATTGTTTTTCTCAGACCACTGTAACATTCTCATTTCACCTGGAAAGGGTTTGAACCAGACCGTCCAAAGGCTCCATTACGAGCTACATTCTGGGAAACAAGGTGGTTCCTCTGAGATTTTGAAGAGGAGCTGAAATGTGTAGTTTCATGTTGAACACCTGATCTGAATTCTCTGCACTGGACGTGGGGAGGACCTGGTACCAACACTGTGGTGGGCCTGCATTGCCTTATCTTCTGCTGGGATCTCTCCTGGAAATGTGTTTAAAACAGGAGTCTGTATTATCTAAAGAAATTAAGGAAGGGCATCCTTTCAAGATCTCTGAACAACCACTGACTTTTAAAGTGATATGTAACAAGGCCAAAAATCTATTTACCTGGGCATTAAAAAATGGTTACCCTTAATACCAGCTTTATTTGCCAGTGGAGAATATGCAAATGGTTTCTTTAAGTTAATTCTTGCTTCCTATAAGAATGGAGGAAAGTGGTATGCCTTGAGCATCTGTCGACTAAATGCCAAGCATCATGCCAGGTGTTAACACACAAATAATTTTATTCCATCTGCACCAGCCCCTCTGTCTCTTGGTAAGGTGGGTAATGTCATTCCCATTTGACAGATAAGGAAACAGGAAGTTGAGCAACCTGCCCCAGGAGCAGGTAATGGAATCTCAAAGGTCTACACTCCACCCTTTCTGACTCCCAAATTCATGCTCCTCCCATACTATTGGTCTAAATCAGAGATTGTTATAAGTCAGGCAATAATTTATTTAGCCAAGTTCAAGTGACATTCTCAAAGCAGAAGCTAGGACTTGGCTACAAAGGGAATGCACACAGTGTGTGTGATGAAGTATGGCTAGCTGGGCATGGCACCCAGGCGGTGATCCTCAAGGTAGCTCTGCCCATCCTCGAATCAGAACCCCCTGGGCTGTGTATTAAAAATACAGATTCCTCAGCCCCACTGAACTGGGGCACAGTGGGGATGGCTCCTCAGGCGGTTCTTAGGCATATCACAGTTTATGAACTATTTCCCTTTAAAACTCAGACAATATGGGTAAGCAAGTTAGAGAGAAGAGTTAGAGTGAAAAAAACAATCCACAAGACCATCTTCTTCAGAAACAATAATAGCACAGGGTAGAACTCTTGACCGTAAGGGAGAATGCATTTTTTGGATAAGAAATCTGTAGTGCAGTTTCTCTTGGCATTTGAATTTTTTATAGCTAAGCAAGCAAGCTATGCTGAGTAATGAGGATAGGAAAATATCACTTCACTTGGCGTTTCCCTTTTCTGAACAAAGGTGCCGGTGCAAATAAATGCTGGCCTCAGTCGCAAAGGTCAGAGTTAGGATCAGCATTTTGCAAGCATTTCCCCTTGAAAATATATATTACACTGTGAAGTCCTCTATGCCCAGAGATGACCTTTGTTTCCACCCAGAGATGAACAGAACAGTTCACTTGCTTTCCATCATACATCAGCCTAGGCAGACATATATCAGAACAATCCACTTGTGAAGGAACGGACTTTTCTTTTTAGGGAATGACAGAATCCGAAGACCAAAAGAGACTCAGTGTTTATTTCACCCCAACTCAAATTACTGTAGGCAAGAGAATATTCTCTGACCTTCCCTCCCAACAGCACCATCTCTCCCTTAACCAGCCTTGGAAACCACACTGCGTTCTGCTTGGTAGTTTTCCCAGGCCTGACATCTGCATTACCTCATTTCTCTGCAATGTAGGAGGAACAGGGACTGTTAACCGCAGCTTACAAATGGGCAGACTGAGACTTGGAGGAACGAAGTGACTCACCCAACGTGACTCAGCCAAGAAGTGAAGAGCAGGTAGTAAACTAACGCTGTGCTGCTCAAACCCAAACAACCTTGCAATCACCAATGCTTGGAGCTGTGCTGTCACCCTTGATTCCACCCTCTTTTTCATCTCTCACTAACCTCTGTTCACTTTCACATCCCTTGGTTATCCCTCTCTCACCCGACGCATCCAGCCCTCAACTCCTGACTCTGGTTGCCGAGTTTCCTACGCCCTGGCTTCTTCCCTCCCAAAGCCTCCTGCAGGGAGGAGCTTAATCTCCCCTCCCTAAGTGTGGGCGGCGCTTGCTGACTTTTTCCCAAAGACAACAGCATGGAGAATGGGGGGGAAAGAATAACTTTGTAGTGGAGAAACCTGACTGACACTATCTCAGCCAGGAGGTCAAGGTCAACGTCAACAGTGATAGTCATGCTGACAGGATATACCTTGATCTAATGGGATGAAAACTGGCATGGTGCTTCTTTCTTCCAAAAAACTACTCCATAATCCTAGTCTAATCACGAGAAAATTCCCAAACTGAGGGACCTTCTCCAAACACCTGCCCAGTACTCTTCAAGGGTGTCGAGAACATTAAAAACAAGTTGGAAAGTCCTCTTGTCACAGCCGAGAGGAGCCTAAGATGATGAGAGGACTAAATATATCTGATAGCTCTCCTGGCCCCAATCAATCAAGCCTAAAGTCCCCTGCAGGGCCTTAGGGATCTTCAGTAACATGGCCCACACCAGCTACTGTGATATGTGAGAAGGAACTACATCTGCCGAGTACTTATCGCTGTGCTGAGTGATTCTGAACTTAGGCAGCCTGACCCCAAAGAACGTGCCTAAAACACTCCACTATTTATTTGTGTAAACATACAAATCCCCCTATGGTGGGACTTCGGACCACCTCCCGGTCCGTGATTGCCATCATGCCCAGTGACTTCATGTGTACTGTGCCTCCCTTGGAAGGCCTCCTACTTTTCTCACCTGTGCAAATCCAACCTGACCCATGGGGCCCAGCCCACGTCCCGGCTCTACTCTGAAGCTTTTGCTATGGCTTAGGTGAATCAAAGACTGCATTCTTCTCCCAGTCCTTCAGCACCGAATACCTGTGCTGTCACCCAGGCACTTCATTTTCCCTTGCGCTGTGCTCATTTTGCTTTCTTTCACAACGCATCAATCCTGGCCTGGCAAAACTGCTACAATCAATGGTCAGTTCCTTTAAATTTCTGGGATACTTCTGATTTCACACATCAATAGCCTGGGTTGTCATCTTTTTACTTCCCAGTTCAATTTTTGAATTAGGGAAAATATGGTTATGAAGCTACAGAGTCCTGAACTTATGACATCTCAATAAATAACTATAACACCATTATACTATTATCATAGGTATTATTTCTTGAACCCTTGTTATGTCCCAGGCGCTATAAATACTCATTTATACCCACAATCACAAATAATCCTCATGGATGCCATACAGGAGTGCCGTCTTATCACTCCTGCAATACAGATGACACCTTTGCAGAGAGGAGGACACCTTTGCAGAGAGGAGGACACCTTTGCAGAGCTGGGTAACTTGTTGAAGATCACACAGCTAAGAACAAGTAGTCTGGCTCCAAAGGCCACACTCTGAGGCTGGGGATTTCCATAGGAAAGTCTTATCCAGCATAGATGGAAATCAAGCTAGTGCAATGTACTAACTAAATTCTGATTACCCAGCTCAGAAGAGGTGACCACCCAGCGGCACCATAATCCCAAAGGTCACACCTGCTAGCAAATAAGCAGATGGGAAATAATACTTCAAATGTAAAAAGAAATTACTCCAGGCTGCAGCAAATGATGGGAAAAGAACACTTACAGGGTAAGGGCTGTACAACAGGGAAATACAACCTACCGTCAGGAGGGCTCTCCCTGCAGCCGCCACCCTGGGCAGAAACTGCCTCTGGTTGGCACTGGTCTGGATGTGCAACCACAAAATGGTATT